TTAGGGTACCCTGAACCCTAAACCCCTAAACCCGAAGCCCTAAACCCTGAACCCACAAACCCTAAACCCTAAACCCTTTGAGGGGTTCGGGTTTAGGGATTAGGGTCGGAACTCGGGGTTTAGGGTTTTGGGGATTAGGGTTGCCTTACTCCTGTTCACACTGATGGCCTTCTGCGATTTGTCTGTTCTGTGGCCAGAGACACCCTCAACCCCAAACCCTAAATGCCTAAATCCTCTACCCTCAACCCTGCTTCGAGGATCATGGGACTTAGTAAGTAAGGTTATAACTACCCTAATTGGGGGTTACATTTACTTATAAGTATAGTTACCTGAATTATAACCCTAGTTACTAAGTCCCATGATCCTCCAAGTAGACCCTAACCCCCCCTTATAGAACCCTCATAGATGCCTTTAAGGACCCCTTTAAGGAACCCTAGTTACTAAGTCCCATGATCCTCCAAGTGACCGCCTTTTTAGGAGCGACCGGATACCCCGCGGGGCAGGGTCCCGGCCTTGGCTTTGGAGGGTTGCTGCCTTCATTCTCCTGTGGGGGAGACGTGGGATGCTAGGGTTTCGGGTTTGGGGTTTAGAGTTTAAGGTTTAGGGCTTAGGCTACGTCAAAAGGTGCCTAGAGGGCATCCCGGTTTGGGGTTTAGGGTACCCTAAACCTTTTATGATACAGGGGCCGATTTACGTCCTGGGACTCTTGCTTCGCGCTGCTTCGGTCGCTTCCCACCCCAACTGGCAAAGTCTTGGAGGCTTTGCCAAGGTTATTGTTGGGGCTACTGAGGGTGCCCCGGAGGGTGCTGCAAGGGTTTACTCTTTCCCTCGGGCTGAGGTTTTGCCGCTGCACGGTGCCGCGCTGCATGGCCGGGTGAGCTCGTAGGACCCGTGACGGCCGTAGCCTTTGCCTGTGCCAAACCGGCAGAGCCGTTGGACGAGCCAGCAGTATGCGATAGTATATTGCAGTGCAGCAATTAAAATGCAGTAGAGTCTCGTGTCGTTTCGTACCATATCGTAAAGTAGTATAGTATGATACAGTAGTATAGTATAGTATAGTATAGTATAGTATAGCATAGTATAGTATAGTATAGTATAGTATGCTCTATTGCAGTAGTTTGTAGTGTGAAGTGCTGAAGGTTTCTCCAGGGGTGGCCCTTCCCAGGCTCTTTGAGTGTCAGGCAGAAGCTGCTGATGTAGCCGCATGCAGATCCATGTGGGAGTTTCCGAATATTAGGGTACCTTATTTTGGGGTCCGTATAATAGGGATCCTATTATTCAGGGTACTATATTAGGGTCCCCTATTTTCGGAAACCCCCATGTCTTCTCTGCTACCTCTAGATCTTCTAGGCTCTTAACCCAGGGTACCTACCGTTGATGATATAAATCCTGCAGTACCCATAATAAGGAATATCCCATAATTCCCATAGTTTAGGGTCCTTAGGGTAATGCAGGATTTATTATATCATCAACGGTAGTTCTTTAGCTAGGGTCTGTTACATCGACAAGCAGGTAACCTAGGAAAGGGGCAGGGCATGACCCTCTAGGCAGGGTGCAGGACTTCTACAGCTCGGAATGCCTCTGAGAGCATAGATCCAAGGTGGAGGGTTTCGGGTTTCGGGTTTAGGGTTTGGGGTTCTAAGTTCGAAGGTCCGGTAGACTCGATACCGTCGATACCCCATCAGTCGCCCTGGCTGGGAAGACGATGGTGCAAGGGTTCGCCACGGTCGCTTTGCAAAGGATTCGTGCTGCCGGTTGTGAAGTACCTAGAGGTGACCTACTTGTGTCTACATCAGATCCCAACTAAAGAACTAGGTTCCCTAAAAAGGGGTAGGGTACTGTTGATGATATAAATCCTGCATTACCCATAATAGGGCATATCCCATACTTCCCAAAGTCTCGGGTCCTTAGATGTCCTTAGGGTATTGCAGGATTTGTATCAGCAACAGTATGAGCCCGTTTTATAGGCACTGTTTCGGGAAAATCATCCACTCGTTGTCGCTTGCAGACTCGGCAGCGCGAGGCTGCCGGACTGGCACATGCCCGCTACTATAGGGGCCTAAAGAACTACCAATATTATCTGTAGGGGTTCCTTAGTATAATAGTGCTATATGTGTCATGATGACTTATGACTATAGTGTAGGGGCCAAAATAATTACCAATATTTTTTTTTGGGGGGGGTTCCTTATTGAAATATAGTATAATTGGCCCTAAAACCCTCTTCTAAGTATTAAGGCCCCTATATTCCAGAGCTTGGGCAATAGTGTGTTTGTATGTGTGTTTGTCTGTCGGTGTGGGGAAAAGGCGCCGATTGATGGTATCATGAAGGGGCCGGTTCACAAGACAAATTGAACGTGCAGTCTTGATGATCCTGCAGCTGTCAAGCAGTTGGGGAAGGCTCAGTTGATCTTTGATCCGGCATCTGGCCCAGCCATAGAAGGACGAGGACCCAATTGCATCAAAGTTTGCATCACAATGGCACCAAAGCGGACAAAGCCCTTTGTGGCACTGTTGGTCTTTGCCTGCCAAGTTCAGGTCCAAGGGGGGCAGTGCGACGGAACGCAGATGAACAAAGCCTCCTTTTCCAACGATGTCGTCGGAGTGGAGAGCCTGCTCTCGATACTGGGCAGGCCTTTGGGATATGTTCTATTTCCCCTTATTATCCGTACGAGGATCTGAATAACGAGCATTTTTCAGAAGTTTTAAGAGGCTGCAAGGGCCAACCGAGGTTAGGTCACGATCCGAATGCTCCGGCACCCCCTGGGATGGACTGCTGTGGCCTGAGGCCGCTGCACTGTGCTGGATTGGGCAACGCCACAAGGTCTGCTAAAGTGCTGATCGATGCAAAGGCAGATGTCAAGAAACCCTAAACCCCTAAACCCCTAAACCCTAAACCCTAAACCCCTAAACCCCTAAACCCCTAAACCCCTAAACCCCTAAACCCTAAAATCCAGGCAGATGTCAATGCCACGAGCACGGGCCCTGTTTTCTCTGCCCTGCATTCTGCCGCCTACTGGTGCTCTCCAGGAGTTGCAGAGCTCCTCTTGAGAGCTGGAGCCTTCGTGGATGCTCGAAACCAAGAATCCCGGACACCTCTGATTCTTAGTGGCTGAGTAGGTAACCTTTGACCTTTTGGGGTTTATATAATCCTACCATAATTGAAAAGGTTAACCTTTTCTGGGCTAGGGTACTCAGGCAGCAAACTCTGGCTGCGCGGCCGTTGTTGCCATTCTGGTTCGATGGGGTGCAGATGTGGAAGCTGCTGATGCACCCGACGGCCGCAGGGCCATGCATTGGGCGGCAGAGCGAGGGTCCACAGAAACGATGCAATCCTTGCTAAGGGCTAAGGCCTCGCCATGCAGCCGTCTTCATAGAGACGGCTGTACGGGCTGTGTCGGTAGCACGCCACTGCACAGAGCTGCGGCCCAAGGCAGGGATGAAGCTGTTCGTCTCTTGTTGAAGCACTGCGATGTGGACTCCATCGACAGTTACTTAGTGGCTGAGTAGGTAACCTTTAACCTTTTGGGGCTCTGATAATCCTACTATAATTCGAAAGGTTAACTTGTTTCTGGGCTAAGGTACTCAGCCCGTAAGGTTACTGGCAGACGGCGCTTCATTATGCAGCAGCAGGAGGCCATCTCACAACCGTCAGGTTCCTTGTGGACGCCGGGGCCAATCCAAGCTTGGAGGGCTTTGATAGTCGCACGGCCAAAGAGCTTGCGCTGGCTCGCGGAAAGGCAGACGTGGCGAGCTACTTGGCGACTTATGATTTGAGCCCACTGGACGAGCCAGCCGCTCAGCGCAGAGCGTCAGGGCCTGGCTTTCCGTAGCCGCTGCACTCATAGCCTCCGGGGCATCGGCACCATACTTTGCAAGACGGCCCAAGAGGGAATCTCCTTTGTCCGTTGGGGCCTGTGCACTGGCCTCAATCTCCAACGTGCCGGCGGGATGGAAGATTCCCATGCTGATGTACTGGTGGCTGGCAGTCATGGCCAACATTGCGCTTGTGGATCTCTTGATGGTGCGGGACCTAAAGACCTATTCACATGTAATCCGTATACCTATGAGGTTCACTGCTTGTCCTTTTTAGCACGCGGATCTTGGCCAGGTGACCGTGCAGCCCATTTGCTGGTGCGTGATCGTGGTGCTGGTCTATGCTGGCCCTGCAGTATCTTAGTTCTCCAATACCCAACCTTTAAACTTTTTTGGTTCTTATAACTTAGTAGTAATCTGAAAGTTTAACCTTTGTTTCCCTGGCTTACTGGGGAAGTAAGGTATGCAGATATGGCTGGGGCATTCTGCAGGAAGTCCCAGTCACCGCCTGCATGGGAGGTCTCCAACCCTAAACCCTAAACCCTAAAAGCCCGAAACCCTGAACCCTAAAAGCCTAACCCCTCAACCCTATACCCCTAAACCCTAAAACCCTCGACCCTAAACCCTACAACCCTGAAGCCCTAAACCTGAAGCCGCCTGCACGGGAGGTCTCCACCTGTTGCACATCCAGTATGCGAGGGGCCTACGCCGGCTAGGAATTCTAGCCCTGGCCTTGCGGTGGGCCCCCTAAAAAAGCAGATGCTCTTAGGGGCTTAGGGCTTTAGGGTTTAGGCAGTTTAGGGGATAGGGGTTTGGGTTTAGGGTTTAGGGATTTAGGGGTTTAGGGGTTTAGGGTCTTAGGGTTTCAGATACCCCATAGAAGCCCCCTTTTAACGAAGCCCAGGAAGGTGGGGATATCCTTGTAAACTGCTTCTGCTTATGTCCTTCTTGGGGTCCCTGTAAGGCCTTTCTTGCTCTTCGGCATCTCCCAGTGGGTGACCTGGGGAGAGTGGCAGTGGCGGCCGAATTCTTGGAATGCCCAGCATTGGAGCAACTCGGTGCCTTCTGCCTTCAACGTGTCCTGTCCTCAGTGGATGATGGCACCCTCGTTTCTCTGCAACGAGACTGGGCTCTATTTGGGGAGTCATTAGGGAGGTTAGTTTTCAATAACATGCTCAGGAAACTGTATTATATACTATCCCCATGAAGGTAGCTTAAATCAAATTCCTTAACAAGAAACCCTACACCCTAAACCCTAAACCCTAACACCTAAACCCTAAACCCTAACACCTAAACCCTAAACCCTAACACCTAAACCCTAAACCCTAGCACCTAAACCCTAAACCCTAAACCCTGACACCTAAACCCTAAACCCCCAACACCCAGACACCTAAACCCTAAACCCTAAACCCTATCACCTAAACCCTCAAACCTAAACCCTAACACCTAAACCCCTAAATCCCCAACACCCAGACGCTTAGCCCCGAACCCAGGAGAACGGGGGTGAAGTCCCTAAACCCTAAACCCTAAACCCTAAACCCTAAACCCTAAACCCTAAACCCTAAACCCTAAACCCTAAGCCCTAAATCCCCAGCACCCGAAACCCAGGAGAAGGGGGGTGAAGTCTTATATGGGACCTGGCCGCTACTTCCGGGAGTACCGCCAGTCTTCGAGGCCCAGCTTAGGGTTTAGGGTTTAGGGTTTAGGGTTTAGGGTTTTAGGGTTTAGGGTTTAGGGTTTAGGGTTTAGGGTTTAGGGTTTAGGGTTTGGGGTTTAGGGTTTGGAGTTTAGGTTTAGGTTGAGTCTTCGAGGCCCAGCTTTCGGATGACTACCTCGCCTACGTCGATGCCCTTGCGCATTCCTACGCCTCGGACAGCCAGGAGTTTTAGGGTTTTAGGGTTTAAGGGCTTAGGGTGTAGGGCCTTGAGGCTCAGGGGCTTAAGGTTTAGGGTTTAGGGTTTAGGGCTTAGGGTTTAGGCCCTAAGCCCTAAACCCTAAGCCCTAAACCCTTAAGGGCTTTGGGTTCATGGTTTCGGGTCCTATTCTTCCGACAGCCAGGAGGTGCTGGCTAAGACTGGGTATGGAAAAGCAGTCCGCATGATTCTGAAAGATGCTGGGCGTTCTTCTGGTTGGCTCTTAGGACATTAACTTTTGGGGTTTCTATATGAACGGTAATAAGGGAAGGGTCCCTAAACCCTAAACCCTAATCCTAAACCCTAAACCCTAGGCCCTAAATCCTAAACCCCGAGACCCTAAACCCAAAACCGTAAACCCCCCAAAAAATCCCTAAACCCTAGTCCCTAGACCCCAAACCCTGTTTTAGGAGGCGCTCAGAAGTCAGCCAAGGATGGGATCCTGGAGGCAACGTTGCAGCAGCCTCTCAGTCGGGCTGCAGCCATGAATCTGGGTTCTTTCAATAAATTCATAAGTTTAAAGGAATAGGGTTTAGGGTTTAGGGTTCAGGGTTTAGGGTTTAGGGACCTTAAAAGATAATATTAAGGCCCCTATAACTTAAGGTATATTCCTTGATTAAGGTGTATTTGGGTTCTCTGGGTTCAAGGAACCTAATTTGGGGGCTTAAGTAATTACCTATACTATTTTGAGGGGTTCCTTATTGTAATTGTAGTAGGTGGGCCCCAAAACCCTTTTCTGATTATTTAGGCCCCTATACTATATTATTTCAAGTTGCCATAAAAAGGACAGCCGACTGTTTACTACGGATCCCTATCATGGTAAATTATATCACACTCCCTAACAAGAATCCAGGAATGTGCTGCTGTTCACCATCCTGCTGGCAAGTCTCGCCTGGGGCATCCTTCTACTTGTGCTACTTCTGGCCTGCTGGGGACGGGTGCTCCACAGCAAGGGGCCATCCAAGGTTGCCGCCCTGGCCGCAGAGATAGACGCAGTGACGCACTCAGCAGGCACCATCGAAGAAAAGCGAAAGCAGCTGAAGAGCCTTCGAATCTGGGTGCTCGTTGAAGTATATAAGTTATTGCAGTGCGTAAGGATAGCAGCTTATCTACCATACATCCATTATGCTGGAAATTCTTCAGTGCCTCCCTAAACCTTAAAAGGCCCTAAGAATCCTAAATCCTAAACCCTGTAAGCCCTAAGCCCGAAGCCCCAAGCCCTCTGCAGTTCGAAAAAAAGCGTTCCACAAAAATACCCAAACTCTCTCTTCCTAAACCCTAAACCCTAACCCTAAACCCTAAACCCTAAATGCAAACTCTCTCGTCGAGCACAGGAATGGAGGGAGCTTCTTTCGTTGCTCCTTTTCTTCGCTTCTCGAGCATTTATGTGAAACATAGATAGCCAATGGGAGAACTTTACGCTTTTGTTGGGCTTGTAATAATATATTGGGTCTATCTTAGAAACTTTGATCTTTGTTGGGCCCGGTTATTGAAGAAGAGAGGAAAGCCTTTATGATCTTCTTGGCCGCCAGCCTCAACATGTACCAATGGGCGGTACTCATGGGAAATGAGGACGACAGGGTTAGTGCAGTTGACGGTGTGGGGTTTGAGGGTCTAGGGCTCCGGTAAAGCCTAAGACTTAAACCCTCAACGCTGACTACCATATGATATTTAAACCTTATATGGGTTCGTTGAATGAGTTTTTCGGTGCCTTTGTCGCCAAACTCAACGAAGAAAGCGTCAAACTCCACGAACAAACCTTGCCATATTCAACGAAGGCCGGCCCTTCGTTGAACATGTTTCGGATTTAGGGTTTAGGGTTTAGGGTTTGGCTTTTCCGCCAAATTCCACGAGGAAAAAGCCATATTCAAAGAAGGCAGGCCCTTCGTTGAATCTGGCGATTTCTTCGTTGAATATGGCCTCGTTTTGTTCCGCCAAACTCAACGAAGAAAACTCCAAATTCGACGAAGAACCAGCCATATTCAACGAAGGCCCGCCCTTCATTGAATACGGTATGTTTCTTCGCTTTTTTGGGAGGGTTTAGGACCTAGGGTTTTGGGGCTGAGAGTTTAGGCCGTGCGGTTTTGGGGTTCAGGGTTTAAGGCCTAGGGTTTGGGTTTAAGGCCTAGGGTTTTGGGGCTTTCGATCTTACTTAAGGTTTAGGACCTAGGTTTAGGGGCTTAGGCAAAATAGCTGTAGGGTTCGTAAGAAAAAATGGTGTACTAATGTTCGGGGAATCTTGGCTGGGTGGGATGATTTCTGATACCAAAACAGCGAGCTCGACTAGACTCTGCTCGATCTGGAGCTGCTGAACCCGAAACCCGAAACCCTAAACCCTAAACCCTGAACCCTAAACCCTGAACCCGAAACCCTAAACCCTAAACCCTTAAACGTGGGCATGAGGACTACAGCTTCGCGGCGGTGGTGCTCTTCTTCGAGCTCTTGCTCCTGCACATGATTTTTACAGGCGCGGCCCTAAACAGAAAACCCCAAAACCCCAAATTGGCCCTAAACCCCCAAGCCGTATAGTACCGTCGTAGATAGGGTTGATGATATAAATCCTGCACTACCCACAATAAGGAATATACCATGACTCCCATAGATGAGGGTCCTTAAGGTAATGCAGGATCTGTATTATCAACAGTACCAATATTTTTTCGGGTGGGTTCCTTATTAAAGATATGGTACAATGGGCCCCAAAGCCCTATTCTAAGTATTAAGGCCCCTATACCCTAAACCCTTATAGTAGCCCTTACCCT